TCATAACACTATTCAAACATTTTAAAGTTCTAGACTCTCTGTCTTATGGTGAAATTCATAAGAATGATAATAATATTTTGAATTTTAGAGGTATTCATTATTTGATTTAAAAATAAATAGAATAAATTCTTAGCAAACAATTGATATTTTTAAATTGCATAGATTGTAAATGGACAAACTCCAAACTATTGGAACATAGATGTATTAATCTAACATTAGCATAAATACTTTCTATATAATATCCACCAAATAGTGTTTGGATAATGTGCTAAGGAAATTACTATACTACAATCGTTTTTAATTGTTAAATATGAGGAAATTATACAATTAGGATGATTTGAACAATATTTATTAGTTGCCCATAATACTCTTTTATCACTATATAAAACAAGGTTACCATCATTTTGAAGTTTCAATACACAAATATAATTATAATTTATAAAACTTTCTGTTTCCCATATCTTTTTATTTTGGAAGAAAAGAACAATTTGACAATTTGATGTAACCATTAACATAACTTTTCCATTAGGAGAAATTAAATACTCATCTTGATAAAGTTTTTGTGGATTATATAATGTATGTTGTTTAAGGTAACATACCAAAGTGAGAGTTTTATTATAAATTTTTGGTAAATTATTAGGAAAAACCCATTCTTGAATTAAGTTATATTGTATAAAATATCCTGTATTTTCATTTTCAAATGATGCAGGACAATTAAGTTGTAAGTCATTAATATTTGGATAGAAAAGCCTTTGAAAACCAGCTACTAAACTACTACCTCTAAAAGTTTCTTCATTTGAACATTCATATATTACTTTGATTCTTAAATCTATTACTCCTGCAGAAGTACTAATTAGCTCACCATCTGAAAATTCAGCAGAATATTGATCTTCTTTATTTAATTTTGATATTAATTTTCCAAATATTGTAGCTACTTTAGCTATATCTTGAAGATTTAGAATTCCAAGTCTTCCAAACTTTGGTTTAGCTATAACATATATTGGAAGACAACACAATATAATATAAAGAGAATTCATTACTATATCTATTGATAGATGTAATTTTGAGGTCTTTTAAAGTACTATAGAATTTGTTATTTTCTATATTTTAATATGAATATTTTTGTTCAATAATGGAAATGACAAAGTAATTTTTATATTGGAGACCATTCACTCATACTTTTTGTGGGAATACACCTTTGGTAGGATAATTAGAATATTTATATAAAATAATAAAAACAAAGGCAAAGAGGATGCACTCCACCCACCCAAGAAGTTGCTCAAGCTACGCAGGAGTGGTTTGGGAGTGAGGTGGCTATATAGGAAAGCATTATTGCTACTCAATGCACTTATAATTGATCTCACTATGGTGCTTGGTTATGGGAAATTCAAAGTGTTGCTATTTCTTTCTCCTCCTTTGCTTCTCCATCTCCATCAGATGTAGTAATAGTGGTGGATTTTGGATGTAGTAATTGTTTGTCAAAAAATATTATATCTGATAACAATCATAGGTTGCATATGTTATGAGAACATATACCTATAATATCACTATGTGTTTCATCCAAGCTTATACTAAGTTGCCATTTTACTGGCAGTAATAGGCTTGGACAGCTTGTTAACATAATGTTGGTAATTGCAGATAAATAGAAATGAACTAGAAAAAAAGTGAGTAGTTTTGAGGTGATAATTGATTTAAAGGTGAGCAATTCAAATTCTAGAGCTATTTTATGAGGGAAAATTTCAAAATCAACCTATTATTCTTACTTTACTACCTTTTGGGACTTATTCTACAATAAATCCCTTTGATGACACATGGTGATATCTTGGTTTGGTGTTCTAGAAAGCATGAGTGGTGTTTTCTAAGATGCTAACCATTATTCTATTAAATAAGGCGTAGTGCTACATCCATCTCTTTAGAGAATGGAGGAAAAAGAGACTATGAAAATTGTAGAGTGATGGTGATTAAGGACTAAAAGTCACTACAAGCAACTGCCCATTCTTTTAGTAGTTTTTTTTTCCATAGACAACAGGACAAGTAGTGAGGAGCATTGCCAATGTTGGTGTTTGCACTAACGCCAATGCCAGTGCCTTCCTATAGCTTCATTTTCCACAATGGGGCGCATTTGCTGACACTTATATCTTGGTATGTCTAATATAGAAGGTAGTTCACACAGCTCTATAACAGTAGCTTAGGGTCAAAGGATTGTAATAGCAATTTAATAACCATTTGGGATAATAAACAAAGTGGGAGTGTTGTCAAGATAGCAAAGTTAATTTTATTGATGTTCTTTATTTTGCTTCTTTGAATGGGTTGAAAACTAAGAAGAAGCTACTTGAATTTGTGAGACACTATTTACTACAAAATTAGAGCATAAAATAGATCACTAAGGCTCTTGGGACTACACATCACACTGTGTTGCAAAGTTATAGATGGCATGGAGTATTTGTCATGAAGGATGAGTAAAAAATAACAACTAACTTGTAGGAGCTCATGCCCTTGGAAGTAGGGGGAGCAAAGTGGGGAGTGAAGAATGTTTATAATTTGCTTAGATGAGTAGGGATTGAGGTTGGCAACTAAAATGTGTGATTGGAAACTATTGTTCCTACACATTATAAAATGTGCTTTTGGCAAGCTATTAATACAATCCTATGCATGCACAAGTTCTATATTTCATTTATAGATTCTTTAGATTTTATAGCTTACATTATTTTTAGATTCGTGGAAGTTTACACCTTTGGGTTCACGCAATAATTAACAATTTTTTACATTTTTATCATAGCTGTAGAGTTGTGTACAAAAATGAGGGGCAACATTGTCTATGAAATATATGCTAGAGCTATAAAACAATTTAGAATGCTATGTTTGATACTCCCCAGATTGAAAGTTCACTTCTCCAATTCAAATCTAACAAAAGTCTCTATTAATTGAAAGGATATAGACAACATTTAGGAAAATGAACACTCTTTCGTAAGAACTATGAACAAGATAAAGTCCATTGTTATTTTTATTAGTTTTTTTTTCTACTTTATCTTTGTTCTTTGTATATAAGTGGTTTTACAAGTAATTTCTTCAGAAGCTTGAGATGGAGGACATATTTTATCTGTGCAACATATTGAACTTGCACAACTTCTTAAAGGTTTTCATTTCAAAATTCTCTACAAGGTTTAAGGAATATATTAATATTTGGAACTTGCATAAACTCAAAAGAATAAAAAAAAACAACCATAGAAAACTTCCTAAAAATAATTTTCAAGCCTAAAGAACGGGAGCTTAAGTAAATATTTCACTTCAAAATCATTTTTGCATTTGTTTGCTCTTGCTATTTTATTTTTGGGCAATCTTCTAGAAGGCTTCTCTAGCAAGAGGATTCATCTCATTGGTATAGATTTCATAGAATATATATAAAAATGAAACTACATATTTGAATATAAAGTGGGAGTTTCCAAAATCTTATTGCAAATGGAAGATCTATATAATACTCTTGAACACGAACTAATTCCAAATTGAGCCCCTATACGCAATTGAGTTTACACTCCATATTTAAATCTAAATGAAGAATATACCAAGAAAGAAGGTTTTTCTGTCCAATGATATGCCATGTTGTGAATCCTTTTATAAGAAATTAAAAGAAAACTTTCTATTGATAATAAGCATTCCCCACAAAACTTATCCTTTTTTTTTTCTATCAAAGATCTTACACATGCGAAAGCATCAACCAAAACTTTTAGGGACATCATAACTAAATTCTTGTTAAGTAAGGCAAGAGCCCAATCAAATCTTGATTGTTTTAATTGTTTTGAGCGTGAAACGCAAGACAGCTCAAGTCTTTAAATCAACCTAAAAATTTTGGTCTTTGGCTTAGATATAAAAAACAAGTTGTAGTGCATGTGATCATGGGATAAGATTTGGATATACTATTACCGTGCATCCTTAAAACCTTAAGGGATAAATGAGGATAAAATAATCACTAAGGGCTCTCTCATCAAGCAATTTCCCCTTTTTTAGTTGGTTTAAAGGGAGAGAAATAATATGCACTACACAAGTTTTGGTACAAAGGGAGCACAATTGGTGATAAAATATATAATTTGCTAAACAAAGCTACTGGAAGGAGTTCAAACATAGCTTTTTATTAAATTTCATTCTCTTTTGCTTCTTGTAAAGTGTGGCAAAAGAGACAAGTAAATATGGTAAAGCAAGAAAAGATAGTGTGGCCAAGAGTTCATATGTATTAGTCATGGCCCCACTTTACAATAAGCAAAATTTTATAAGTGTATAAAAGGCTTATTCTTTGGTTTGGTTTATAGCTTATGACTTGTCCCTTGTCTCAGGTTAGCTCTAGCAAAGTTAAGTGTTTGATTTTCCTCTTGTGATGTTCTAGAGATTTTCAATAGAACTTTCACATGATAATTTAAAAAGGTTAAAAATTATGGCTTCGGATGTGAAAGTTTTAGAGAAAAATACTTATGATCATAGTTGAAAATGTTGATTAGACTCTTGAAATCATCTGTAGCTATTTAGAACTATAGTACTGAAATTGAAATTAATAAGAAGTGAGGCAAAATAAATTTTTGGATATCAAATAAAAAGAAACAAAACAAAATATCACTATGTTTCAATTATAACCTGGGTAATGTGAAACTAAATTTATGATCATGATGAAATTGATGTTTATAAATGATTTTATTTTAGATTGAAATAAATATGTTTAAATGAAATTCATGTTCACACATGCAAGATGAAATTCCCTACACTTATAAATTTTTGCTTGCTAATACTTTGGGCCTATGAACTTGGCCCTTAGTCACACTGTCGTTTCCAGTCCTACTATATTTTCTTGTTTCCTTTGCCACACAAGTTTTGATGTGGCAAAAGAGAACAGGAGGCTCAAACATGAAAATGAGTTGCAAGTAAGACTATACGCAATCAGACTACAAAGTGTATAGTACCTGTAAAAAATCAACATAGTAGCACCTTATGGCTCAAAGATGTAGAGATATACTCTCACCGAAACAATGAGATCAAAATGAAGACCATAGTAACAATTTGCATCTGAAATGAATGCATCTCAACAAAGACAAATGTTTATGGAGGCTGGCACGTAAAAATACACTATACAAGTAGCAAACATCAGCACGACTAACTCAAGGAAGTGTGAAAAGGAGTGTGAGGACTAGAAAAATGCAAACAACATGGCAAAGATAATTCTAAATAGCATTCATGCCATCTATCATTCAAGTTAAAACAAGAATTCATATTTTTTGGAAAACCATTTCTATTACACAGACTCGCAGATGCTAGCGATGAGAACGTGAGCGGCAGCGTTGTTTCGATCGATCTCTATGACGGAGTCGAAGGCGAGCTTTGCGATCCCCGGATTCCTCCACTTCGCGCACGCATCCAGCAGCGTCATCCAGATCTTGGCATTGGCCTCCCACGGCATGCCCCGGATCAATCCCACCGCCTCTTCCAGCTGATTGCTCCGCCCCAGTAGATCCACCATCACGGTGTAATGCTCCAGCCGCAGCGCCACGCCGCTGCCATAGCCAGAGCTGGCGGCGCGGGAGAACACCTCTCGCCCTCGATCCACCAGCCCGGCGCGAGCGCACACGCTGAGGATGCTGAGAATCGTCACGCCATTGGGCCGCAATCGCTCCTCCCCTTGCATCATCCTCTCCAGGAGATCAAAAGCTTGCTGGAAATCGCCGGCGCGGCTGTAGCCCGCGATGAGACAGTTCCAGGTCACGACGTCCCTGCGCGCGCTCTCGATCGAATCAAACGCCGCGCGTGCCTCGTCCATGCTCCCGCATTTGCCATAGAAATCCACAATGGAATTGGCCAGTATCGAGAGTTCGTTGTTAGGGTTCTTGGGGGATACCATGGAGGAGAACTGTGAGTGGATCTTCCGGCCGATCTCTAGCGCGCCCAAGCTCCCACACGCCTTGATCACTGCCGCGAGCGCCACTCCATCCGGATTGCACCGATCCTCCTGGATCATGCGCTCGAAGCACTCCAGCGCTCGATCGGGCTCGCCGGCATCGTTGTATCCTGCCATGAGCGCTGTCCACGAGACAGCGGTGCGCGATCGCGCCTCCATTCGATCGAACACACTGCGAGCATCGGCCATGGATCCACATCTCGCATACATCGCAACGAAGGAATTCGCCACTGCAATCTCGCGTTCTACATTCTTTGCGGTGGCCCGTCGATGGATCTCTCTCCCCCTGGCCAGGCTCTGGATCTTCACTGGCGTGCCGCCGAGATTTTGCCCTTGTTCTTGCGCGGCCAGGGAAGAACACGCCTTGATTGCCGCCAAGAAGGTCACAGCGTCCGGATCGATCGAATGTGGCATCTGAGAGAACAGATCCAGCGCCACCGCTGCGTCGCCACTCTCCACGTAACCCTGGATGATCGCGTTCCAGGACACGATCGAGGGCTTCTCGATCGTCTCAAACACCGATCGAGCGTCGCCCAGGCTGCCGCGCCGTGAGTACATCGTTACCAGCGCATTGGCAACGAAGGGATCGCGATGGAATCCCCGGCTCGCAAGCGCCGTGTGAAGAGCTCGCCCCTTCTCGAGAAGATCTCTTCCTTGTTCTTCGATCGGGGTCGAGCAAGCCTTGAGAGCTGCGAGGAATGTGACGCTGTCGGGATCGCAGCCACTCTCCTCCATCCTCGAGAGAAATTCCAGCGCCATGGCTCCATCGCTGGCATCGGCATAGGCCGCGATGATCGAATTCCAAGACACGAGACTGGGAGAATCGATTTGATCGAAGACTCGGCGGGCATCGGCAACGCTGCCACAGCGCGAGTACATAGAAATCAGGGCATTCGAGATGACCACATCGCGGCCATAGCCAAGCGTGGCGACCATGGAATGGATCGCGCGACCTCGTAGCAAGAACCACTGGAGCTTTGGCCCTGATCGAAGCGAGGAAGAGCAAGCTTTGATCGCAGCCAGGAACGTGACCTTGTCCGGGACGAATCCCTCCTGCTGCATCGTGGAGAACAATCGCAGCGCCTCAGCGCCATGGCCGGCCTCGCCATAGCCGAAGATCATCGCGTTCCACGCCACAATCTCTCCCGCGCTTGCAATCTCGTCAAACACCGCTCGAGCATCGATCAAGCTCCCGCATTTGGCGTACATCGTGAGCAGCGAATTCGCGAGGAATCTGCTGGATCGGTGGCCCTCTCGCCAGGCCCGGCGATGGATCTCTCTGCCGCTCCGTAGGGAATGAGCTCTGACGATATTTCCATCGATTTCTTGCGGTTCCTCCCTGGCGGCGGCGCTGGCGCACGCCCTGGCAGCCGCGAGGTAGGACACAATCCCCGGCGCGCAATCCATGCGATCGAAGAGATCCAGCGCTATGTCGCCGAGATTGGCGTCGACATAGCCCTGGATCAACGTGTTCCATGAGACAGCCGTGCGGCGGTGATCCAATCGATCGAAGACCGCGCGCGCATCGACCAAACTCCCGCATTTGGAGTACATTGCGATGAGCGTGTTGGCGATGTAAACATCCGTGGCGTCGAGGCCGATCTGAGCAATGCCCGCGTGAATTCGCCTCCCCACTGCCAGGTCTTTCGATCTCCCACACTCCTGGAGCGCTGCGATCACGACGCTGGTAGTGGGCCGCCGTCCCTGTTCTTGGGCGCGATCATAGAGGCGAATCCCTCCGCCTGGTCGAGAAGCACTATCCACCATCGCCAAGCCCTAATTTCCGTCCGGACGTATTCCGTGCGTTCCAGTGGCCGAGAATCGAAACCGAGCAAGTTGCCGGAAAAAAGCCGTGGCTGCCACGCGTCATACTGTGAGTGGCCAGATCTGCCTTCCGGCCGCCTGAAGCATTTCTCGACCTAGGATAGAAGAGAGGCAGTGGCGATGGCCGAGGAGCCCTACGCAGTCCAGGGCAAGCAGCAGCAGCACCGCCAGCCCCATCACCAGCCCCACCAGCAAAATCATGTCATGCTCCATGGCCATCACCAGATTCACACGCAGCAAATCCACGCCCCAGCACCTCCTCCAGCGATCGCCGCGGCCACGAATCGAGAGGTAGGGCAGCATAATCTTCCCCATTCTTCCCCGCTCGATCGATTCCCGGCGCCGCACGGCAATGGCCGCGGATTATCGCTGTCGCTCCATCACCAGAATCACCAGCAGCACAAGAGTCCTCTCCAGCATCCCCAGCAGCATTCACAAGAACTGGCGGCTAGGGTTCTTCCACCGGCAAGCAAGGCTAGGGCTGACGGCGGCACTCCCGGCCACGGCCGTGACGACGCGTGGACGGAGGGGGCCACGCTGGCGCTCATTGACGCTTGGGGGGAGAGGTATCTCCATCTCAACAGGGGGAATCTCAAGCAAAAGCATTGGCGAGAGGTGGCTGACGAGGTGACCAAGAGGTCGTGCTTGGACGAGAGCTCCAGCGGGAGAAGTGGCAAGAGCGATGTCCAGTGTAAGAATCGCCTAGATACGCTCAAGAAGAAGTATAAGATCGAGAAGGCGAGGCTGGCGAGCGAGGGGAGCCCCAGTAAGTGGCCATTTTTCGTGAAGCTGGACGAACTCATTGGTCCATCGAAGAAAGGGAAGAAGAGGTCGACTCCTCCGCCATCAAACAACGGCATTGCCCCGGCCGCTGCCGCCGCCGCCGCTCTCACTGCTACTCCAGTTAGCAGAGATCAGTCGAGGAACCATCGCCAGCAGCAAGCCCAGCAAGCGCAAGCGACGAGCAACGATTCCTCCAGCCGAGAGTTTAGTGCCGGGATGACCGATAGCTGCGAGAACAATGGAAACGCCACGGCTGCCAACGAGGGAAGAGCTTCGTCGTCCAAGAGGCGGAAGGTGGAGGGGAGCTTCAAGGATCTGGCGAGGGCCATCATCAAATTTGGGGAGGTTTACGAGCGGATCGAGAGCGCCAAGCAGCAGCAGCTCATGGATCTGGAGCGGCAGCGCATGGAGTTTACCAAGGATCTGGAGCTCCAGAGGATGCAGCTCTTCATGCAAACGCAGGTGGAGCTAGCCAAGATGAAGCACGGCAAGCTCGGGGGTGGCGGCGGAGGAGCTGGCGGCGGCAACACAGGTGAGTTGCTCTCCTCGGCCACGCTTTGTCCCACTGAAACGCTCAGCTCCTCCGTGTTTACAGAGCACTACCTATGATCCACGGCCTCGGCTCACTGATCGATCGATCCAGGCACGCTAAAAAGTCTCACCGATTGATCGAAGGCAACTCACTGTATAGGGGAGAGATTTTGATGTCGTCTAACTTGTGACTACCACCACTATTCGCTGATGCTACTAAGTTTGCCAGTCCGGGATTTTGGAGACGATTCTTCTGGTTTTGTAAATGCTTGCTGTTAACAATGTTTAAATGCTGTACTGCACAAGCGATCAAGGGTTAGGGATTCTGTGTTTACCAAAGTTTCTTGGACTGTGCTTTAGAGCAGGGAGTGTTTGTTCTTTGTGTTCTGTGTAAGTGGGTTCTCTTATTTCAACAGCGAGTGTGTTCCCGAGTAACTTGGAGTGAGGAGATCCTGTGTTTTGTGTCGTGAGGCTGCCACTTGTTGTGGAGAGGTCGGAGAAGCATCGCTAGGGTGACTTATCAGATCAATGGGCAGGCCTTTAGCAAAACAAAGAAAATTTTAAATGTGAAAGCTTAAAGATTTTGACAATTTTTCTGTTGTCCTTGATCATCACCAATTGTGGCTTTTGCCGGGCAATGGGGATGATTCTTGCTGTAGCAATTCCAAGATTTCTTGACTGTTGCAAGTAAGTATTGAAAAGTGTGTATAACCTTCATGTTCGGGATGATTTGGTGAACCTTTAGAGCCGGCTGGGAACAGGGCGTGATGATGATTTCCCACCATGTGACACTCCAGCCTTACCACCATCTTTATTTCACTTTGGATTTTGATTTATAATGTTTTTAATTAAGTTCTTTGTTTTACATGACATTTGCCAGCTATTCTAATGCTAGGCTATTGCTTATGGCAATGAATATGTGATTGAGTGTTGGAGTATTATATATTTACATGTGTAGATTTTTTTTTTTAATTGCTTGCAAAATATTATGCACACAATCATTTTTTAATTGTTATAGAAGCAATCAAAACATGATTGTGTGTATAATATGTTTGTCATAAAGTATGCTATATATGTATGGGGCATAAAACCTCAAACTGAAGATTAATGCCACATCATCCTAAACAACATGACATCACCACAAATTTAACAAGGGTTTAACTATATAGCATAAACTTTATTTGAGTAAGTGTACAATACTAAATTATATTATGTGGGATAAATATTCCATAACTCTCTTTTTCCTTTTTTTGTGTCATGTAAAAATGAAATTCATGAGTGATTTGTGGAGCAGTGGGACAAGAAACATCATCACCAAAATTGAATATTGAATAGGAGCTTTATATCTTATCATAACATCACACATTATAATGGAGTGCCCAATCAATACTTTCTTAGTCATATTTACCAACTTTTTTTTCTTTATATTGTGAATATAACTTTAGATATCAAAAAATATTTGTTAGCCAGTCCTTATGAACACTCTCTTTTTATTGCCACAATGGTAGAAAATTGATATTACTAGTTCCTTTTGTTAGCCCCTTTTGTCCAAGTCTTAGTAGATTGTAAAGAACCAACTCCTCAAGGTGTTGTAGGCTAAAGGATCCCCGAAAGCATGACCGAAATGATAAAGAGTTCATTGGATAGGACCAAGTCTAAAATTGAGTCCAAGACCGACTTTGAAACCGAGTTTGAGATAAAGTCTGGGATCAAGTCCGAGGCTGACTCCAAGACTGAGTTCGAGACAAAGTCCGAGATCTGAGATCGGGTCCGAGACCGAGTCTGAGGTCGAGTCCAAAGTCAAGTCCGAGATTGGGTCCGAGGTCAAATCCAAGATCGAGTCCGAGACCGAGTCCGAAGTCAGGTCCGAGATCAAGTCCAAAATCGAGTCCAAGTACTAATACAAGTCGAAGGGTGAAAGCCCAAAGCATGTGTCTCCCGGGGGGGGGCTGTAAGGGGTTCCAAAAGTATAGTAGGGATAGTGAGATCCAAGAATCAGTTTTGAAGGAACTCCCCAATGGTGCTTCCAAACTAATTTGAGGTTGAAACTGGGGCCAAAGGGCCTTGGGTGGGAGTGAGCATGGACTCGGGTGGTGCCGGAGGGGCCACCCAAGGAAGTGTTCAAGAGCAACTCCCACTCCCAGAAGAGAAACCAACTGCGGTGTTCCCGGCTTATGTGGAGTGGTGCCCAACTTGAGTACCTTGCGGCTCATTTGTCCTCACCCTTTTTAGGGGCTTGGGCCTTCCCTTCAGAATGGAAGTGGGGGGGTAGAGGTACCCATACCGGGCCATTAGGCCACGGTGTTTTGCCCTGGCATCCAAAGCAAGTGTTGCACCCAAGGCTTGGGATTTAGAGGGTCCCATGATCAAGTCTTGTTGGACCAAGGGATGTTAGGAACCTGAAAGCTTGATGTGCTTAGCTGCTTGTGCCTATGAGGAGTGTAGCCAAACCTTAAGTCCAATCTAACCCGGGGAGGGGGATTGGGAGAGATTAGGGAATTCATGGATGGATAGTTAACGCTCCGTTGTTTGTGTAGTGAGTAGCTGAAACCAAGTAGGACCAAGTAAGAGTTGGTACAATAGGTGGGAACCTTGGTGAGGGAACTTAGTTAAAGCCAAAGTAGTGTTGGTCGGATAGACAAGGTAAATTGGCAAATTGAAAAGGAAAAATTTGTAACTTACATAAACTTAACTTGGCATTTGCACTTAGCCAAATAAACATAAAGTAGAAACTTCTATATATTTTGAGTTAAACATACTTAGCCTAGCTTTTAATTCTCTTTTTAACTTGGCAAAAGCTCTTGCATATTGAGTTTAGCCCTTTAATATTACTACATGATAGTTTACTATGTTCACTAAGCGACCCTGTAAAGAACCAGCTCCCCAAGGTGTCATAGGCTAAAGGATCCTTGCAACCACGACCAAAATGATAAAGAGTTTATCGAATGAAATCGAGTTAGAGATTGAGTTCAAGACTGACTTCGAGATTGAGTTTGAGATCGAGTCCGAGGCTGACATTAAGACTGAGTTTGAGACCGAGTTTGAGACCAAGTCTAAGATCCAAGTTCGGGTCCGAGATCGAGTCTTAGATCAAGTCCAAAACTGAGTCTGAGATTGGGTTCGAGATTAAATCCGAAACTAAGTTTAAGGTTGGATCTGAGATTGAGTCTGAGGTCGAGTCCCGGGGGAGGCGGGGGGGAAGGGGCTGCAAGGTGTTCCAAAAGTATAATAGGGATAGTGAGATTTAAAAAAAAGTTTTGAAGTAACTCTCTAGTGGTGTCTCTAAAACTAACTTGAGGTTGAGACTGGGGTTTAGGGGCTTTGGGTGGGAGTGAACATAGACTTAAGTGGTGTTAGAAGGACCACCCAAGGAAGTGCTCAAGAATAACTCCCACTTTCAAAAGGGAAATCAACTGTGGTGCTCCTGGCTTATGTGGAGTGGTGCCCCACTTGAGTACCTTGTGGCTCATTGGTCCTCTCCCCTTCTTAGGGGCTTGGTGTGAGACACAAAATCCCTAGGCCCCAAAGTGGAGCCGAAAGGGCACCACGTGGTAGTGGCCGAAGCGAAAGCCAAACAAGCGTAACACGTTTGGACTAAAAGCTCCGACTTGAAAAGGTAGAAAGTGGGAGTGGAACTCCCAACGAAGTGCTCGAAGGACAAACACGAAGTGAAATTTTAAGTGAGTCTCTAGAAAAGGGACACAAGAGGACCGACACATGACACGTGGAAGTGTCTGAGATGAACCCGAGATGGAGTCCGAGATGGATCCGAGATGGACCCAAGATGGAGTCCGAGATGGATCCGAGATGGAGTCCGAGATGGAGTCCAAGATGGACCCGAGATGGAGTCCGAGATGGAGTCCGAGATGGACCCAAGATGGAGTCCGAGATGGACCCGAGATGGAGTCCGAGATGGACCCAAGATGGAGTCCGAAGTCGAGACCAAGACCAGGACCGAGACCGAGACTAAGATCGAGACCGAGGCCGAGTCCGAGCCCGAGTTCGAGCCCAAGCCCGAGTCTGAGTCCAAGTCCGAGTCTAAGTCCGAGTCCAAGTTCAAGTCTGAGAGGGTGAAAGCCCAAAGCGTTCGTCTCCCAGACCCTGGGGGGTTTGGTGAGCTCCAAAAGTATAGTAAAGGGGAGGACTGCAGTGAAGCCAGTTTGGCCAGGAAAGGCCAATTTGGCCCAAGAAGGCTGTACCTAGTGTTGGGTGATGAGCTGCCCACTAGGAAGTCCAAGACTAAAGTGAACACGGATCGACAAGTGGGGTAGCTTGGTGAAATGTTCAAGAGCCAGCTCTAGTTCCCCTGGGAGATCGACTAGCCGATGCTCCTAGTCCAAGTGTGGGTGGCACTACCTACTTGGATACTTGGCATGGCTCAACGGAACCTCATTCTAAGCCCATGGCTAAAGCACCTAAAAGTGAAATGTGGGAGAGTACCCATGAGGCTTGCATAAGGCCACGGTGTTCCGAAATGTTGTCCCAAAGTCCTAAACGGTGAAAGGGAAGAGGAGCAGTCCTCTAGTGCAGTGACCAAGGATATAGTTATATGGTGAGGAAGTCCCAAAGGATAGTGGGACTTAGAGGTCAAGCCTGCGGGCCTTGATCTAGTGGCAGTGTTAGCGAACACGGCCATGGACAAAAAGGGACTTAATGGGGACTGGAAAAGAATTGTCGGGGAAGGCTATTCCCCATGTCTGCGGGCATCCTAAGGATGCTAAGGAGTAAATCTAGGATGATCACTCACAGACGGATGGCCTAGTTTTTTAGAGATGGGACTATGATGCAGATGGCATTAGACCACCAGTGTGACCAAGGTGAATGGGCATGGCCTTAGCGTAATGGGCCGATATGTCAGTGGTACCTTGGGGTGTCGGTCATGGGATTAGACACGTGGAGCACTTGGACCAAGTGCAAAGGTTGAGTGGCATGGATGCCATTCTCGGGGCTAGCAAGCCCCAAGTCCTAACTGGGACTTATGGAGGTTGTGAATGAGACTCCTCCAAGTGGTTGGAGGTGCGGTTAAGTGATTAAAGTAAAATGGAAAAATTAGTCGCTTACAATTTGGTATCGGAGCTGTTCCTTAGTCCGACTCTTATTGATGGCCAAATATATCACCACTTGTATTGGAATTGGAAAGTCCTATGTATGGACCTATCCTCGAGGAGTAGCATGTCAAGAGGACATGGCTCTCCACTCGAGTTCATGCGTGAACTTGTGCATGATGTGGTGGATGGAAAAGGGCTAGTAAGGGAACGACTTTGGGATCTTGGGAATAGTATGAAGGTTTCCTCAGAGAGTTGAAGATGTGATCCAGATGAGCATTTGACGTAGCAAATAGGCTAATGTAGTTGTGGTAAACAACTATAGTTGGGACCACGGGAAAGATGCAAACTCCAAAACAATAAAGGAGTCACAAGATTACCCTCATATAGTGGAGGGTGGTGCTCATAAACTTGAGACCGGAATTGATGACCGAGGTGTGAGACACAAAATCCCTAGGCCCCAAAGTGGAGCCGGAGGGGCGCCACGTGGTAGTGGCCGAAGCGAAAGCCAAACGAGCGTAACAGGTTTGGATTAAAAGCTCCGC